CTCAAGCGGCACAGTCGCACCCAGATCACCGGCAGGCCGAAGCGATAAACCTGGAGTGTCCCTCCGCTTCCAGCCAGATGTTGGTGCCGGGGAGCAATCGAGGCTCACGCGAGTTCTCGATTACCGCTTCTCCAGCTGAGTCACTTGCAATGATCACGTTCGACAAGGACTCCCCAACACCGTCATTGGGAGAGGAGGGAATTAGCTAATACGCAAGACAGCCTTAGGCCCGAGTAATCTTGCTTAGGATCTGTGCGAGCGATTTCTGTTCCTCCTTACTGCAATTGCCACTATCTTCGCCGTGTTCCAGACTCCAGTGGCTCGCGGATGATTTTTGATTTATGCAGTGCCTAGCATAGCTGGCACCGAAAAGCTGTCGTATTTGCCCAGTGCTGGCCTTGGGCGAGTTCATCCTGGTCAAGACGACATATTTACTACTTCTACTCATCTACCAAGTAACGGCATATGTGTTTACACGGATATATGGGATCGATGTGGCATAGTGCTCATTCAGGGTAATGCACTGGACGAGTGGTAGTTCACTATATCTCATCCAACTCTATAATATCCGCGTTGCAGATCCTCCGTTTGCTGCTACTTTATGCTGGAGAGCAGTCTAAAAGACGAGTAGGAAACCAGAGCTTCGACCCTAACGCACCTGTCATCAGCAGCGATGCAACCGCATATATCGATGCTGCGGTTGTAGTGCCTGTGTTGTAAGTCGTTCTTGCGCCTGAACTCGAGCCAGCGTGCCATCTGGTATAATCTAGCCGACGCGAGCCAGAACTGTACGTACGCCGGAGCACGATTGGCGTCGCTGTCGATGATAACTTCACTAGCTTTAGAGGATATGAGCCTTGAGTCCTTCGGGTTGGTTGGATACTCACTGTTAGTGATCCATCTTTTATGAAGGAACGCACACTGATTTTTGCAATAGATATTGTCATGCTCCGTTCTGACGATGTCGCAGCAATGTTGTTCGTGTGATATCTCGAAAATACGACATAAATAGTTTTGGTTATGAGCCACTCACAACGGGACGACATCACAAGATACTATTTATCACACACGAATGATGTCTGAGTCCTGCCGAAGCCAGACTGATTTTTTGTGGTGCTCGAGGCAAGTTCATGTTCGGTGCTATGCGTGTGCTGACACCATATCTCAGCATCTCCAATTGAGGCGTCTTCAGGTCATCCAGACGATGCAGAAATCCCACGCCCGACGATTGGTCGGTATCTGCGCCGCTGTCGACAGCTTTTTTTGAGCGCCCGTCGTTGTGGCGCATAATGATTAAGATTTGACGTGGACATCTCGCCGAAGGTGTTCCGACATACGTGCGCCTCGCCGTCACACCACTTCGCATTCGCCATGCCACCGCTACCGGTCTGTTTCGACGATATCACTGAGGTGTTGATCCCGAGGTCGAGCTTGAGGGAGTAACACTGCTACGTGCCTGTGATGTTCAGCAGCGCCCGGAGATGATGTGTGCTTAACTATACCTGTTCGCAGCCCATCACGAAATCTTGTTCAGTACAACTTTGACGTTGCTTTCATTCACGACTCATTGCTCGGGAAGCTAACCCCGTAGCTGTGGTAACATCTTGTCTAGCGCAGACAGTTTTCAGTAGCACTCATCAGCTTACTGGGAATGTGTGTTTGCATGAACATGGTGTTGAACCATCAAGTTGTGGTTCTATGTCTTCGTGCGAACAGGGCAGGGTCCAGTCAAGTCGCGCAATTCCCGAGAGGTTGGCGCTCTAAGCACACCGGATCACAAGTGGAGCATCAGACGCATCAGAGCGGAAACTCCGTTCAGCCGTCTTGACGACGGGCACGCACTTCGTGACGACAGTCCAAGTGCATTCCGCCGTGACTCTTGTAAAGGCAGGCTGTGCTCGCTCATGTTTCCTTCTTACTAACGACGACGTTCTTCAGCATTGCTGTGAACGCATCTCTACTAGGACCGGTGCAGGTGAATAACTGAACGCCTCAGGAACCGACCCCTGAACTGCGGGGGAGACGGTTGTTGTCTATGAAACAGGTGTGCGAGTACGGGCGGTTGCAGGCTGTAGTCTACCTACAAGGCAAGCGACGACCTTGAGGCCGAAATGTGATTGGACAAGGAAACCCTGTGTTGCCCAGAGTTACATAATGTCTCAAGATCTGACATGCCGATAACCGTGGTCGTAACCAGCGTCGGTCAGTTGCATGTTATCTGTCTATGACTGGCACTCTATTGAACGGCAAATCCTGCTGGTATTGGACCCCTCCGCCGACGAAGGGTCTCGCATATGGCGAAGATTATTCACGATCGCGACCACGGAGACCGACGCTTCTGGCTGGCCAAGCGCCACTAGCAGGTGATGAATTCGGGACACGGGCGCCGCTACAACAATTGCTTGGAATACCCACGACTGTCGTTCGCTAAGGTATATAGCTGTGCTGCCGGCAAAGGTGTCGACTCTAGTCTCTACCCAATATCCCGTCGCCAAAGCTCCTCGTTCTCTTCTGCCACGCCTAGTTCGTCATGGCTCTTTCTCTGGCAGAAGCAGAACTCATTGGCACACTGTTGGAGGCGATGTGCTACGGTAGGTAGTTCTTGTAAGTCTCCTTCACTGGAGATAGGCTTATCGCGCACTGTAGGGATGTTTCTCATGCTTTTTCTCGAGCTTCTCCGCGTGCTCTACGTGAGACATCGGGCCGGCAGATCAATCAAACTCCTCCTCGTCATTGCGCTGCTGATATTTTCACTGATTACCACGGTACATGATATCTCATACGCACCTACATCACTAAACATGCACTAATAGCATTAGCAGGACGTAGTTTTACAGACAAATCAGGTGGTGGAGGCGTTCACGGATCACATGGACGTAGCAAATGCCCCAGTCACATATTCCATTACGCTGAGCGGGCACGCCAGGATGGCAAAGGCCTGTATTTTTATGATGCTCACTCTTGTTTGCGATGCTCTTATGGTACGTCATTTGCGATGGGCGATGATATTCGACTCACCAGATCATATCTAGGTTTATCGAGCGTTCGTGGTTTGTGAAAGCAAATACCGCACGATAGCTCTCCCTTCTGTGCTCTTTCTGGCCGACATAGGTGAGTTCGTCTTTGCAAGGGAGAAATTTGCGGCTAATGAAAATAGTATTGTTTGCCTGGTTCTTGTGGAGTTATCTGAACATTGATAAACACCAGACTTCACTGAGGACTGCACTAATTCGGATCGACTACTTCTATGCGGTTACTTTGACTCTTAATCTCTTGTGTACAGGTGAGCATGCCGATCACGAGTGCAAGTATGACACTTATGAATATCTTCGCTAGTCCTGATCTCATGGAAAATCTGGGCTAGCCACAGGAAGCTGTCAGGGTCCGCTGCGGCGGGAGTTCGTATCATGGGTGTTATTACTATCATCATCGAGTCTGGTGAGCTCTTATCGCATGCTACACTGGTGAAGACTGATCTTCCTTGGTTTGGCGGTATACAGCGGGCGTATACTCCTGTATTCTTGCTGCACTCATCCTAACGAACGCTCTAAACACGACAGTACTGTGTGTTATCTTGGATCCCGTACGTCAATAGCGCCTTTTACACCAGCCTTTCATCCTGACATCAATCCATACGACCTAGACGTACCCCGTAATTGTGAGTGCACTGGTTCTGCGACGGAATTCTGCGTGGGCTGACTAGGAATAGGGTATAATCTTCTCTGCTGTCATGGTGCGCGCGTCCAGAGAATATCACGGCGATACTTTCATGAACGGGGACTTGACTCTCCCAACACATGCTCAAACAGAACGAACGAGTCATCAGCAAACCTTCACGACGGGTCAGCGAGACGACGACCCCGCTTCCAATCAGGCCTTCGTGCCCGAGAGAAAGCGAAGCACGCTCGCCCTCCA